AAGGTTCTGTTAATTTTGACCCAGAGAAGGATTTGTCAATCATTCTGGTTTGAATTCGCCTTCCTGGTCTGAAATTTCATTACTTTTCTCAAAAAGTGTTGTATTTTATTGTCTCAGCTTATGGTAAGCCACTCAAGACGGACATTCGTACTTTTAATTTTTCTCGTCCATCTGAAGTCAGAGTTTATTGAAAGAGACATCATTTACTTACTTCTGAGGAAATCTGGCTGGAATTTGGTTGGACACACAGCATAATGGATATTGGCAGAAGGTAGAGATTGAGTCTTTTCCTTCGTATTGTTCGAACTGTCGTATGTTCGGCAACTCCAGTTCTCAATGTCATCATCTACATCCCCACCTCAGACCAAAAAAACAAAGTGATCTGCTAAAGGCGATGATTCAAACTCCTCTTGATCAGCTCCAAATTATTGACACTATCGATCATCAAAAGGATACACCACAAGACGTCACTATTCCTGCAGACAATATATCAACTATTCAGTCTCCACACATTGTTGTAGCTCTCCCGTCTTTGGAACCTCCTACCGTAGAGGCGAGGGAGATTCTTCAAACTTCGTCTTCCCTAGAACGTATCACTGATATAACAGGTGAAAGTACCTCTGTTGCTTCACTGCCACCTCATCAGGTCCAGAAAGATCTCAATGCTACTCAGACTCAAGGGAATCAAGATGTGCAACGTCTTACAACTGTCCGACCATCTTTGGACCAATTCATTGATCAATTGAATCAATCATAGGATGAGGAATGATAGGTCTACACATCCAGAAAGAATGAAGACATACTTAAGCTCAGAAATCTGATGGATGATACTTTGATTACTTCGGGTAAAGGAACGCACCTTACCAATTTGTTAGCTGGCTCCCTTCCGAAAACTAGAGACAGAGGAAGAACTAAAGTGGGACGTCCTTATCACCTTTGCGTCTGTTAGTGGATTTTTTGTTTTTTATCTGATTTTAGATTTCTTGTCGTCGGTCTTTCTCCTTTCCTAGGGTTATATCTGAGGACAGGTGATGCTCTGATTGTATCTTGCTCAAAGGTAGCGACTATCTCCCCGCAACTCCATGCCTACTCCATTTCCCCTGTCGTTGATACCTTGCTCGCAGCCTAGCCTGCCTGCTTCCCTGTCGTCAGCTTGTTGACGTCCAACCTGCAGTCGTAAACTCCCACCTCCCCCGC